GGAAAAGCCAGTTGGGTGTTTCTGTCTCAACGGTAACTGGGGAGTCACTGCACAGCGCAGCTTCAGGGAAGGAGCCACGGCCTCGGGACGACGGGCCAGGCCCAGCTGGAACCCGAGGCCGAGGGAGCCCCTGCCCAGGCAGCCTCCGGGCAGCTCCAGGCACACACACCCCCTCCCGCTGCCCAGCTCTGTTGTGATCCCTCCCCGGGCACAGCTACTCTCGGAAGTAACAGAGCCAGAGCTGAGGTGCGGCCAACACCCTCCACGGCTGGCCCGCCTGTTGACCCACCTGACCTCCGGCCGGCTTAGCCGGTGACACGTGCTGGGATGGGAACAATGGGCCACTCCTGCCCACCAGGCGACGCCACCTGCCGAGCAGGCCCGTGGGGCTCCACGTGGGAAGCGGAACCACCCCGGAGGCAGCAGGTGTCCCCAGAGGGCGGGGCGGGGCCGGGCCGGCGGCCTGGCTCCCCGCAGTGCAGCCCAGTGCAACCCCAGGCGCCCAGAGGACCTCCCGCTTCAGACAAGCAGACGAGGACCCACCCGAGAGGAGGCCGAGGCTTTTCCGAAGCCTCCAGAACAGCCCAGAAGCAAGACAGGCCTCTGAGCACCGAGGAGGGAGGGAGCACCACCTCCCGGCGCCCCACCCCCTCCCTCTGGAGGCAGGACTACCCACTGGGTGGTCGGTTTCCCCCAAGGATGGATGACCCGCTGCTCAGCACAGCTCCATCTGCCCACACGTCTGGTCTCAGGTCACGCCCCAAAACTGTGCACACGGCCGCTCCAGGGAGGCGAGGGCTGCCCCAGGGTCCTGACTCAGACAACGCAGGCTGGGACCCACTGTCACGCAGCGCCGTCCATGTGGGCGCCATGAGGGCATGGCCTCAATTTCCCCAAAGTGCAACGGTGAGGGGAAGACTAAGAACGGGCTGCTGAGGACCAAATACATGACCCCTGCCACCCTGAGCTCCGAGGGGGACGCACCGCTGCGGGAATGCCGGGATCGGGGGGCTCTCCCGCCCTGCCACTGCCCGGGGAGGCCTCACGACACCCATGATGACTGGCGCACAGGAGAAGCTGCGTGAGCGCCATGCAGGCAAAGGGCAGCAAGGCTGCGGGCTGGCCTGTACCTTTGGCGTGGAAGGTCCAGTCCCGCCGCCAGTACTCCTGCAGCTGCACCCGCTCCTGCTGCCCCAGGCTGCACACCTCCTGGTAGAACTGCCGCTCGATGTGCACGTAGGCGGCCGGGATGGCGCCCGCCACCCCCTTGGCCCCGAAGAAGCCGTTCACCTCCGGGGAGGCCAGCAGGATCTGGTACTCGGCCCGCGTGCCCAGGACCAGGTCCATGTAGGCCTGGGTCAGGTTGAAGTAGCCAGTGGTGAGGTAGACCCGGGCCCCGCACTCGGCCTCGGTCAGCAGGGCCGCGGTGACCGCCTCGTCGATCCGGATCTCGAAGGGCTTCATCTGGACCAGCGGGTAGATCCACGTGTCTGGCGCGGGCCTGCGGTCACCAGCGGCCGCAGCGTCCTCCCGGGGCCCGAGGCAGTCGCTGTGGAAGGTCTGCGCGTGCAGCATCTGCTGGCGGGGCCGGGCCGCGTTGATGACGCCCATGACCCGTGCGTGGGCGGCCTCGCAGTACGCAGCCCGGTCACCTGAGGGACACGGGGAAGGGGGTTAAAGGGCGGCTCTCGCCGGGCCAGCCCTCCCCCGGCATCTCATTCTCACCCTCCCTGCCTGTTCTCCGCAAGCTCGTGCCGGCCTGTTCGGTTAGACCAGGGTCGGCCATGTTTTCCGTGGGGCCAGAGAGTGAACAGTTTAGGTTGTGGGAGCCAAAGGCACAACAGGCAAACATGCAGGTACTAACTTCCATCACGAGGGAAGAGGATTCCCATGCGTTTTGTATGGACAAGATGAAAAGCTAACGGTCACAATGGAGCGTCCCGGCTGGTGGCAGGCAGGGCGACACAGAGCCCACCCCGGGGACGGACAGGCCTCCACTGGGCACCTGCTCAGACAGTTCCATCGGGGGGACCCAAGGAGCACCCCGCCAGGTCTGGCGGGTCTGGGTTTAACCCCTGCCCTGCGCACTGACACCCGTAAACTCAGCAGCAGACCTTAGAGGCCCCCAGGAAGGCAGGGCCACGGAACCACAGGAACGCAGAGGCCCCGAGAGAGAGCCAGCTGCCAGGCCGGCGGCACAGACCACAGTGGGCCAAGTGCAGAGCCTCTGGCGAGGGAGGGAGGGAGCGGCCGAGGAGGGTGAGCTCCAGCACCTGCCCTCCTGGCAGCACAGGGCAGGCTCTGGCTCGCTGGCCAGGCCAGGCCCGAGCTCCCGTCCCCACGCCCCCGTCCCAGCCGCTCCCTCGCCCACAGGGCATGGCTGATGGCCAGTGGGTCTCTCTGTCTGGCTCCAGTGACAAAAGCAGATCCAGGCCCTGCCACCCGGGGTCCCAGGCCCTAGGCAAGGCCACAGAAGCTGCTCTCCTCGGCCCTCACGTCCCCGGCTCAGGGGGGCAGCATGGCCGCGCCCACCTTTGTAAGGATGCACCATGCCCTCCACCACCTGCACGGTGTCGTCGCCCTGCAGCTGCAGGGACACATCGCCCACGGCGTCCACCAGCTCCGTGAAGAAGTCCGCGATGTCGGGACAGTCCTGCAAGAACACGTAGCGGTCCTGGCGGTTGGTGAAGTAGGAGTCACTCAGGTTGGCGCTGCGGGAGGAAAAGCAGGTGAGGACCAGGCCCAATGCGCGGCAGCGGGTCCAGTGACAGGCCTGGGGACACCCAGCAGGAGCAGGGTGACAATCAGATCAGGGCCCAGCAGCGGCAGCAGCCAGTGAGCAGTTGGCTCCTGAGCGTGACCACGCCCAAGAGAGAGGCCAGAGTGGCCGGCACAGCCCTCCTCAGAGCTACGTCACCTGGGAGAGCAAATGCCCACGCCAGGCGGGTTTCCAGTGCAGTGACGGTGCCCCTGCTTTAGACTCAGGTCCTGGGTCCCCTCCCGGCTCTGCCCGTCCTCTCTGATCTCTGGTTTCTCGTGTGTAAAGTGAGGAACCCACGGCCCAGGTCCTTGTGAGAATTTAAAGGAGAGACACACAGGGCCTCGCGTAGTGGCTGACACACAGTAGGTGCTCAATAAACAGGGCCTGCCTTGTATTTTTAGAATGAAGAGAGTTTGATAGACTCTCATTTACTGACTCATTTTTCTTTTGTGCCCAGCCTTCCACGCCCTCGCCTTTGGCAACCATCCGCTTGTTCTGTGTCCGTGGGTCGTTGTTTTGTTTTCAGTGACTTTGCTGTTCTTTAGATTCCACATATGAGGGCATGTCTTTCTCTGTCTGACTTGCTTCACCTCGCAGAATACCCTATGGGCCCACCCACGTGCTCACGAACGGCAAGGCTGCGTCCTTTTCTTGCTGAACAACATCCCACTGTGCGGATACACCACCTCTCCATCCACTCAGCTGCCAGTGGGCGCCTAGCTGCTTCCCTATCCTGGCAACCCGGCTACCGGGTAACCTGTGGGCGTCCAGCTTCCAGGGCGGACGCGGTGCCGAGGCAGACGGGAGAGAGGCGAGTGGACTGCACGTGCCAGCGGGCCCGGGAGGGGAGACTTGCTGGGAGACGGGGCGGAGGGAGCCACGCACCCACTCAGGATGACGTTGTCGTCAAAGAGGTACACCTTGATGTGCTGCAGGCCGATGGTCTCGTTGAAGCGCTCGGGCATCAGGAGGCGGAGCAGCCCGCGGAGGTTCGGGGTGTGGAAGAGGGAGACGCGGACCTGCCCCGGAAACCGCTGCAGGAGCGGGAGCAGCATCGTGCGGGAGTTCTTCCTGCCTGAGCACAGGGCGAGCGGGGAGGGAGGACAGGGTTCACCCCGGGAAAGGCAGCCGGCCCAGCAGCGCCTGCCGCCGGCCACGTGCCTGTGCTGCCCGCTCAGCTGGTGCTGTTTCTGGGCAGAGGAGCTCAGGGCACCTCTGTTCTGGTCGCCCGCTGCTCAGGGCGGGGCTGCTGTGGTCGGTGAGACCTTCTGTCTCCCCCACCAGCACCCACTGGCCTCCTCCTGGTCACCCACCTCAGCTTTCCTGGGGGTGCCACCACCCTCCCTCTTGGCGTTTCTGCTCTGCGTGATGACCGTGCCCACCCGAGCCCGCACCCCAGACCCCCAGCGGAGGGCCCAGGCCTGGGCGAGGCAGGGCCGCACACTCTGAGCCCTAGGGCAGCCACTGGGAGCTCTGGTCTGCCACCAGGGCGCCGACTCTTCCAACGGACAAGATGCCATGGCGAGAAGGGCCTGGCCATCAGAGGCCACCACAGGGAGAAGGAAGCCACAGGACACGGGCCAGCAGGTGGGTGCTGGCGACACACCCGAACCCCGATGCAGCCTGCCCGAAGCAGTGGGCCCGGGGTCACACAACTCTTTCTGCCTCAGTTGTTTTTCTGGGGCTGCAGTCCCAGCCACAGAAGGAGGGAAGGCGCACCCACCTCTGGAACCCCGCATGAAGTCCAGGAGAATGGACACCTTGAGGTCGGAAGGACACTTCGCTTGGAGTGACTTTTCCAGCGTGCTCTCCAGACAGTCCACCTACCAAGCAGAGGGCAGACCCGGGGGAGACTGTGTGTTAGGAATGACCCACGTGCCAGCCATGCCCCCGTCCTGGGCACACCCGTCTGCGCTCAGAGCTGGCACCACGGACTCCTCCTCAAGAGGCCGCCTCGGGAGCAGCCTGGCACACAGAGCAGCGGGGACCCTGTGCAGGGTGAGGGGGACACTGACCAGCCAGGTCAGAGGCCAGGACCAGGCCTCCTCCGCCCTCCCCCATCCTCCCTCATGCCCAGTATCTGTGGCCACGAGAGCGAGAGCTGGCAGCGTGAGGTCTGGAGGCCACGCCCTGCTCCCACCTGACTGCTCCCCCTAAACCTACCAGTTCCTGTTCCAAAGGACCTGTCCCCAGGTAGAGAGACGCCATCACGACCCGCCTCTTGGCTGCTTGGATCTGCCCCTGAAAGCAAAGGACGTCTCAGCGCACAACCATCATTTCCATGTCGCTAAGAAAATACAGTCCCCGACCGTGGAGGCAAACACCACCCACACTGAACTATCCTGACCCCAACGCAGACGGACCCACAATCCGCCCTAGAAATAGTCCGCGTGAGTCCACGTGAAGTTAACGCGTGATGCACCTGCACTAGACATGGGAGGGCGTGCACACGCCTGCGGCGGCCTCACGCACGGCTGAGACGCCCATCACTGAGCACAGCGCA